TCTAAGTGATAATGTTTTCAAATCTAAACATATCATTTCTTATAAATAATATTTTCTTTGTTTAAATTTTTATTGCAATTACACTTATGTAATTAAAATTTAATATATGAAATATTTTTAATTAAATCAATATTTTATAATCGATACGACGTTATAATATCTACGAATCATTGGCATCAAGTAACGTCACGTCAAAAAAAAATCTTCTACATATTTTATTTTATTCGAGCATAAATATTTCGACAAAGGATACTTTTTAATGTAAACGCTGATGATTTGTCAGTTTTCCCAATCGCTAAAAATGAGCGGTGTATGCACTCGCCTGCGCGTAATTTTAATTCGACATTTTTTAAATTCCGTATCGTCGTTATTCATCGATTCCAACAAGAGTCAAAAAATAAATTCTTCGCAAAAGAGAGGCGAAAAGAAAGTCTGCATCTTGTTGTCAAAATCATCTGTGACGTCCAAAAAACTTCTGCGGGCCAATTAGTCTTGGCATTTTCCTGCCAATACACCAACGAAAACTGCACTCGCGTGCATTCTTTCGTTATTCGGCTCTCTCTTTCTCTCTCTCTCTCCCTCTCTTTCTCTCTCTCTCTTTCTCTCTCTCTCCCTCTCTTTCTCTCTCTCTCTTTCTCTCTCTCTCTCTCTCTCTCCGTGTCTTTGAAACAGGTCGTGTCAAGCCCCGGGCAAAGGGCTTCGCTCTCTTTTTTTATATATTTTATTTTCTTTCCTGTGCACCGTCTGTCCGCGAATATATTTAAAGTGAGCGTATACCTTTTTACGAGTGGATCGCGGCGAAAGAGAGAGAGGCCGCCCATCGATCATTCGACGATGTGTAGGCGACGCTTGAGGGTGCGAGATCGCGGAAGTTTCGGCTCTTCTGCGACGAGCCAAACCTTTCGCGCATCACCGATAAAAAAAAAAAGAATTTACCAGAGGCAAAGAATAAATTGGCGTGTATGTGTGTGGTTTTAATTTTTTTAATGACTGCAGTCTTGTGGCTGGAGACTTCATGAATTTAACGGAGTTTTGTGTCATGAAAATTGGCTAAATTTAACGAACGCCGTACATGCCCATGAATTTGTAATGAGAAATATGTAAGTTACTTTGTAGTGATTTCGGAAACTCGCAGTAATAAATTTTAATTTGAAATTAAATTGGTATTGTTCCAATTTAAAATATTGCATGTGTCGAACTTAAGACGGTTGAGCCCTGAATACCGAGAAGTATTCACATGAGTTACGCTTGAGACGTACGAATAAACGAGTTTGAATTCTAGTTACTGTCCAATTTAAAATAAGTGTCATCCGTTCATTGAAATCCGTATATTCCGCGAATTTACGCAAACTTTTAAACGCAAAGAGATACGTAATTATAAATTATTTGCAATATTAACTCTTTTTAGCTTTATATGATTGAAAAAACTATTTATTGTATTTGATTGTACAGTTACAAGCTCCAATATTACTATTAAAAGAATGAGAGATGAATCGGATAGATACATATTCAGTTTGGACGCTTCACGCGAGTAGAAACGGAAAGTCAATCAGTCGACCGCGCAAACAAGCTTTGCTGTTCGCTCTTCGCGCTCGCGAGCAGATACCGGAATTACCCGCGAATCAAACCGTTTTGGCTGCAGAATATAATATTGATATTCCAGGAAAGACACGAGGTGTGTGCTGCTGTTTAAATTTGGGAAGCGAGTGAGTTATTATTCAAGCATCGGTTGGTTTCGAGATACTCACTAATTACTCGATCTAGTGATAATAATTCTGTGAGTTTATGCATATAAACGCTACAAACAGTCCATTTAATTGGGAATTCAATCAATTTGAAATTAGTAGCTTATTTTAAATGAAAGTCACGTGTACATTCTTGATCAGTACATTTTTTTATTGAAGCTGCTAATTTCAAGAATAATAATAGCACGAAGACAAATATAATAGTATAATTGACTCCCATTTACGCCCAAAATTGGAAACCTTTGTTGGTTTCACCTTGGGTTCATTTTCCAGGGGGTTGGGTTACGTTACTAATTACGTCGAGCACGATTAATTAAAGAGTTCCGTGCGTTATATATATATACACACACCCCTTGTTGCTGTCAGTTGTCAGCCGTTGTCGGACAGAATTTGCGACTCACGTTTCCGCGTGGTCGGCGAGCTTATCAAAACTTGCTGAAATTTCATCAGCCCGTTGTCGGACTTTTCAGACAGTTTTCCGCGGTCGCTGTTTTATCACCGTTGAGAACTTTTCTTTCTGATGTTATCGTTATCTGAATTATCCATTAGTTATCTTTTCTCCTAAATATAAACTACTTTTTATTAATTCAATAGTATAATCCCTAAACTTTTTATGATAATAGTTTTCTTTCGTATCCACAGTTTTAAAGCCTATCTGAGCTTTCAAAGTATCAAGCTCTCTATCTGCTAAAGATAAAAAACTTTTAGCATAAACTTGCACTAACTTTCGACTTTTAAACCTTCACAGCTAATTCAAATATTTCTAACTTTTCGTATAATTTGAGTTCTTTACATTACTAGAAATGTTTGAGTACTTTTTCATTCCCTTTGCTGTTTAGTTCTTCGACCGTTTCCACCAAATTAGTAATCGACAGACCAAATTAACTTTCGACGGTTATATTTTCAACTATATTAATGAATATTTAAAGTTTAAACTTAATTTCTAATATTTTATCAACTAAATAATTATTGATATGTAATCAATTGCATAAAAATTATACTCTATAATATTTGTTAAAGTTTAGAAATTCTATGTTAAATTACAAAAAGAACTTGATCAAATTATTTTCTATATTTATTTACTAAAACTCAACAGTATTTATAGATCACACAGGTGTTTTTTAAGAGAACTTGAAGTCAATAAAATATCGACCAATTAGGGAATTCGGTGCTCAAGTTCATTCCACGGTTATTTATGAGTTTTAATCGTGTGGTTCAAAGTGTCCACAAAAAGTTTCGTATTCTTGTCTTTACATAAACAATGCACTTGTTTGTTGGGAGTTCACAACATCTATACATTGGATAAAGATCTATACATTGGACTGAAGGGTCAACAGTAATAAGATAAACTAAAGATGTTAGTTTTTTTGGATTTTGTTTACATAATTAAATTTGAAAAAAAATCAGCTCGTGTGAATGTTGAACAAGCTATGTAATGATATTCATTCCAAGATACAAATCATACAAGCGGATGTATGCGACACGAAAAAGAAATGGAAATATAAAAATAATAATTGTTGAAGCTTCATTAAATCTATGGTTAAGTAATCAACACAGCCACCATTAATCATTTTCTTGTAGGCTAACGATCATCGAAATATGCTTATCAATAACCGTCGAGAGTACAAAGAACAAGAAGAAAAATAAAAAAGAACGAGAACTTTGAAAAACAAAATAGCCAGCTTCAAAGTAAAGCATAAAATGCTCGAGTTGAAGGCAAGTTGCGACGAGGCGGTGCGGGTACCGCATCGGTAAAGCACCTTCAGGCCACAAAAGCTACAGATACGTTTTTCTCTCTCTTTCTCTTGCAGAGCTCGAGTTCGTTCGTCGACGTGCCTTCAGGCAATTCTCCTCGAAAATGATTCACAGCCCCCGGTAATTCATGCGTGGGTGATCGACTCGACTGTGTGTGTGAGTGAGAGAGAGAGAGAGAGAGAAAGGTTAAACACACACGTACATATACACCCACAAAAAGCCAGGTCAGAGTGTTTTGCGCGTATTATGTATGCGCGCGAGACTAAGGATATGGAGAGGGAGGGAGAGAGACAGAGAGTGTGCAGCGCTGGGAAAAAGTATTATACGCTAATCGGTTATCGCGAGTGCTGCGCTCTGATCTTTAGAAGAGCTTTTGTTCACTTTTTTCGGATAAATTGTGGATAAATGTTGTCAATTTTAGGTCGTATATTTTTCTCTTCGAAATGCAAGATAAAATTTGACATCGAACAGCAATGACCATTCAGCGAGAGTGTTTGGAAAGCCCATTTGACGCTCGATATAGATGTATTTGAAATTTGTCAATTGGTCAATTGAAAAAAAACACTGAAATCTGACGATCATAACGAGCAAATAAAATCCGTATGGAGTACTCGAGCGTAAAAGATACGGAAAAAAAAAGAAGTAGTTTGGAGGCAGAGAGCGCCTGTGCAACAAACGAACGCGCGTCCGCCTACAAACCTCTCGAGGATTTGTCCGAGGGCAAATCAGCGCTCGCGCGCGAGAGAGAAAGAGCGAAATGAGAAAACATCTCTGGCGAGTAAGCGAACCGCGCGCTCGCAAGCCTGAGGCGTGCTTTTGGATGCCGCGAAAGTCCCTTGCAGTGCGCATATGTATGTATACCTATACACGAGTATACCAGCACCGAGAGACTCGCAAGTTTTCGAGCTGCCCCACGGGCTCGATCTCGTAATAGCGCGCTCCTCTTTTCGCTTTTATAGACAGCCATTAAAAGCGCCGCCTTGTGGCATTGAAAAGGTCGTGAGAAGACGTGTGCGAACGACTTGTCTTTTTTTTCTGCCTTGCATGGACTGGTCGGCAGCTATCTGTCTTACTCTTATAGGATCCTTCTGTCGATTGCGACCAACCCAGCTTAATTTATGAAAGCTGTGCTTTCGTTTGCGATTTTTGATTTTTCATCTTATTTCATTGCTTTCTTTTCTTTAATTTATCTCATTGTTGTCATCTGCGGGTATGGTGAAATAAACTACGCATAGAGCTTGAAATTGTTTAAGGAGCAAAGCTTCTCATTGCATGATACTAATTGGAGTACCTCGTCTTTTTTCAAAGAAGTCCTCACCTAACGCTTGTCAATTTAGAAAATCAAAGGCTTTTCCTCGACTTCAATTGAAATATCACACAAAATTGTTACTGTCGTGGTCTTCATAATAATTACTTTAATATTCCGACTTTCATCTTGAAATAAACTAAAAATGTCGGTACAGTAAAGCTAATACTCGATGATATAATTTCCGTTTTCAGGTCACAAAGAGTCAATAACAAAATGTCTGAACAAAGGAGAAATCAACGTGATAAAACGGAGGCAAACCAACTAGACGTCGATGAACTAAAAGATTTCACAAATTTCCAAATTAGTGATGATGATGAATTGAAATCCATCCAAATTTTAAACGATGATTGTTTAGAAATAATTTTCCGAGCCTTGCCTTTGGTCGATCTTTATAGAGTTCAAAGGGGTATGTGTACGAAAATATCACCTAAAAAATGAAATATCACCATTAATGACCATATCGGCTCAACAATAATATAAAAATTTGTTTTATTTTATAGTGTGTAAACGTTGGAGATCAGTAAGTATGTCCATATGTCCCCGAATAACGAAGTTATATATGTCAAGAAGCTTCTGGGGAGTCAGCACTCGTTTCAACATACACATTGACCTTAGTGTATTAGACAAGGTTCTATGTATTTGCGGTCGTAACTTGCAATACATTGGACTTTCAAACGACGAAGATAGATATCCACAAAGAAAACGCAGGATTCACGTAGAGTCTGACAAAAAAGTATGGATTTTGATTCATAACAGATGCCCGGGAATCACATCAATTGATTTCGGACAATCACGTTCAACTGTCGCTTTAAAATTCGTTTCTAATCATTTCAAAAATCTCACTTACTTCAAAATGCATAAATTTACTTTACCTGGAAAAACTCCACCTATTCACGAAATACATATAAGTCAATTATTTGCCAATAACGTAAATCTTCAGCGAGTTGAGTTGTTTGATGCAAGGATAACGACCGAGTGTCTTATGACGTTGAATTCTACTAATATTCAAGAATTGACTTTACAAGATTGTATGATTAATAATAATGAACATTTGATACAAGTTAGTACAATTATATATAGAATTTTTTCGTTGGATAGCTTTTTGTGTGATGATTTTAATTACAGGCTCTTAAGGAATTGACAAGATTGAAGTGTTTAACGGTGTCTCGTTGTATTTGCTTGCAAGATAACTGGATAAATGCTGTATTAGAAGCAATAACCTTTATGTCCGATAGGTTAATATATCTTGACTTCTTTCTTTACAATCCTGCGTACGAGATAATTGACACTATTTACTTGAGAAAATTGAAAAAACTGGAATACTTGAGCATTGCTGGCGACACTGTAATTGATGATGATGCGTTGACAAACATTGGCGAATGCTGCATAAATCTAAAAAAATTACATATTTACAGTAATTATATTATTCAATTGGTTTTCTATTAACTGGTAATAGTTAATTAATATCAATCATCTCATTTTTCAGAAACGGAAAGTATCACAGCAATGGGTTTTGAAAAATTGACAGAATTAAAGGAACTTGAAAGTCTAGTTCTGACTGAGTTGGCAATTTTAAGGAATGACGTTCTGCGGAGTATGATAAACCTTGTTAATCTAGAGGTTCACCGTTGTCCTTATTTTGAAAATCAAGGTTTTATGGATCTCGTTCGAAATTCACAAAATATTAGAACATTGAAAATATTCAACTGTAAAATGGTCCGTGAATGCCAACTGATTGAGGAAGTTAAATGGTGCTCAAAGGACAATATAGAATTAATTATTGATAGTTCTGAGGTAAGAGATTATTACTTAAAATGTATTTATAAATTAATAAAATCTAACGGCAAAGTCACGAAAATAGTTAAAAAATTATGCTACGATTGCTTCATACGGAAAAACGAAGAAAATATTGATTGTAAATTATGTTGCGATATCTTCGAATAAAATTTCTTAAAAAGTAAAGCAATTTTTGAAGTTTAGTTCATTATATTTTTATTTATATCAATTTTTGTTTTTTTAGAATTACATTGGTTAATTTATTTTATTGAAACCAAATACATAATATAATTCAGTAATAATCATCAATTATTGAAATGCGTATTCAACTTATTTCTTTATAAAATAGCGATGGGTGACATGACGAAACATTTTATTCGTGATCTGATATACTGCTACATGGTGGCAAATAAGCGTATATGCATAGTTTCGAGTTGAGATTTTAGTGGTAAATATTCCATTTTTCCATTTTAAAGATAACGAAAGTAAAGAAAAATAGACTACAGTGTTATTGTTTTAACACTTGTTTCATGAAACTATCAGCGAGTAAATAGTTTCGTAAAAAAAATAGGTTTCTCTTTGAAGTTGTTTTGATTATTTTCTATATTACTAATCAATAATCTGATTTTGTAATATTTATGATTGAAATAAATTTTGTGTAATGCTAATTTCTATTTAAAGAGTAGGATAAACGTTTAATAGCAGTTTGACCCGTATATCTGAAAAGAACTATAAGATTATTTATAGCAGTTTTCGAAATGATAAATCATGAATTTGAAACACGCGGAACTATTTTTCTGTCGTGATATGTGTTCTTTTTTTAAATTAAAAATTCACTTTTCAAAAAAGTATTTTACGTAAAATATGTTAACTAATAAGACAAGAAATGAAAAAGAAGATGAGAGCGTGCGAAGCGCATGTGATATTTCTGATAACGTAATATGACGAAATAAAATTTCATTATCGTCAGCGATAAAGTACTATGATATTTCGATGAATTTCACACGAAGAGATTTATCAATTCAGAAAATTTAAAAATAAATATGTTACTTTGACTTGTTATTCAATAAATTTATGTTCTTTAAACATATGTCGGAACAAATATAATGCCACAGAAACCGATCATATTGCTTTCTTTTTTCATCTACCGCATAACAGCAAGCGCGAGAGTATCTCCGCCCTATTTAACAGCCTCACCTTTCCGTTTCCCGCGAAGCTACAAAGTAAGAAAAAAAAAACAGAGAAGAGAACTGGAAAAGGTGCGACTATCACGCGGCTCTTGCTACTAATTGTCGAGCGTAATTAGAGCCCCCGGCAGCCGCCTACTCGTAAATGACGCTTCGATTGCAATCGCGAACGCTCGCGCCTCTTCCTCGTAACTTCGCTCGCTATTAAAAGTTGTGACTTCGAGAGTCCTACTGTCTTTTTTGTCGGAGGGGGCTTTTATGACCCCTTTTACTCCGACGTTTTCGCACTTTCATCGAGGTGTTTGCGGCACTTCGGCTGCTTTTGTTATTTCTAGACACTTTCTTGTGGGATCGACGTTACTGCGCAGAGTATTGTTTTTTGCTCGATTTTTCGAGGAAACGTAATTGACTTCTCTATTTTCATTCTTCTGATGATAGAATAACAGATCGTTATTTTTAGCAATTTATTGCGCGGAAAGCTTTTTCTACGACTTCTGTAGTAATATACAATGCGAATGATTCAAGTTCGAAAATTAGATATGGCCATCGTAACTGTACTAAATCCTTTTCAATGAAACTTGTATAAAACACGGTCTCTTCAATAAAGATATTATTATTTATGATTCCGTAGTAATGTCATCAAGTTTATTAAATATCAAAATCATTAATAAATTTCCATTGCATGATTATTTTGCTTGTATTACAACAAATCAATTTTTCGATTTTGCACCTGAAAATTATATCGAGTGTAACATGTACAGAAGCAGTATGATGCTCACTGATTAAATATATCAGGAAAATCCCAATACGCTCTGTTTATTTCACTGCATCGTCAATTGTATTTAGCATGTATCATCACTTTAGAAAAAATATAGGTCGAATAGGCGCGGTTTTAGGCCTGTATTTCAAGAGCGTATCGTATGTCCGTAAATCGCCTGTGAAATTTCAAAACACCTCTAAGTACACAGTGTCGTTTCTTTAATATTAGGTATTGCCCCGCACACGTGTGCAAAAATTTATGTCGTGAGAGCCGATTGTCGATTGACTGTACGCGACGCGCACGAGTGACGAGCGCATAGGTGTACTCGTATTGCACGTCGGAAGAGAATTATGTACGCCATGAGATGTCTATTCCGTCGATCTTCACTACTGATTATTAGTTTATGTAGCCAGACGAGTCTCTACGGATTACTACTTTGAGTTTGCTCAAAGTAATAGAGTTTAATCATCATTAATACGGTAAAATATATAAAGAATTGGATATTTATTTTCAATGAAAACTCAGGTATATATAGAGAGCGAGGGAGTACGAGAGAGAAAGAGAAAATTAATCAATTAAAATCCCGATACTTCTCTTCGTTGATTTTGATGCAGTAGCACTAACGTTAAAAAATATATTTCATATCGATTTTACGCTGATCCAATTTACTGTCAAGTCTAATAATTGAAAGGTTCCATGTAATAAGAAGTTCAAAATGTTTTTACCTATCTTTTAAAATATTGTTTAAATTGAAATGTTATAAGTTTGTAGATCTATAAGTTGATATTTAAAAATTTTAAATTAACTCGTATTTTTGTTCTTAATCATAAATGTTTAGCTATTTTGATCAGGAAATATTCCTAGGAATCTTCCTATTAACGTAGTAAACTCTTCACCAGTCGACTTATTTTCTTCGTTAGAAGAATCTATAAACATTATTGAAAACATTTTCAAGAGTAATTGTTTCTTTTGTATTCTGTTATGATTTATAATAAGCGTAACGTCAATATAAGAAATTCGTAACATTAGTAACATTCCGCTATTGTAAGAAAATTTTAAAGTGGAAAATATGTATATTGCTTATGCGTACTGTTCTTAGTATTAGGCTTCTATATTTTGAGGTTCGTTATCTAATTTATTAGAATTTAATATTATATACATATATTTCAACATGAATTACAAAACATTGATTTCCGTTCAAATTTGAGTGATTGAAACTTTCAAACTGTGAACTTTTTACATTATCGAGATTTTTATTCGTTACAGGTAAAATTTATTGAATTACTTTAAAAAGTGCATATTTTAAGTTTCATCCTAAATTTTTGTATGTGTGTTAGGATCTGAAATTTTTTGTTTGTATTTGAGTGATTATTATGGCAATAAAATTATAGTTTTTTATTAGTAGAATTATCGGATTCAAATCAATAAGTTTATTGAATTTTGAAAAATAACATTTTGAAGTTTTTTTGCATATATTTTGTATGTACGTTAGGATTATGTTTTATCCAAACTTTTAATACAATTACTTTGATAATATGTGTTGAACTGTTGTTTCATTTATTATTGCAAAATGATTTTGTTACAGATAAAAAGACATTTTTATATTTTTTCTTCACAGGAGAAATTATAATATAATTTATAACTGAACAAAAAAATTCGTGAAAGAATTGTTCATTGCATAAACCTTCAATAAAGAAAATATCTATATACTCATCGATTCGTAATAATTTTTCCAAGCCCGCTAGTAAGACTATTTAAACGAAAAATAAAAGGAGCCCATAAACATGCGATTCCTAGTTCTAAAATCAGGATGAGCTGCAGTTCTCACGTGATACATCCTCGCGAATGACGGAAAAAGAGTAGTGTATGGTGAGCGCGCGAATGACAGAGAAAGAGCGGATCCCGAAAATGAGCCCGAGGCATCCAGGACGACTGCGGTGTATACAGTTTGAAATGTAAAGGCGTAGCGAGTGGTGCACGCGGGCCACTATATACCTACCCTACTTCATTAATATTTCATTTCGTTGCTTATCGTTATATACTCCTCGTGGAGCTGCACGCCACTGCGCGCGCGTGCGCCAGCTAAAAAGCCTTGAAGGCATCGTTACTGCCTCTTAGTGCACGATCGACCGTAGCTGCAAGGGACGAGCGACCAAAGACGCGTGAATACGGGCCTGAAATGCACACAATGTGCGCGAGGAGAGACAGAGAAATTCAAGGCGAATAGATGCACGCGAATTCGCAGTGTTTTTTCTTCTTTCTTCGCAGGTAAGTCGCTTGCGAATCAATCAGGTGGAACTGCCCTAAATTTACGATAATTTTTTCCTACTGCAGTAAATTTTTACGTTCAAGTTGTTCGTTTTCTCTTCTTTGAGCCAAGGGATAAATTAAATTAAGTATGCAAACTTGGCGAAGCTTATGAACGAGAAAAAGGACCTGTCATGCGAAAATTCGCAGTTGAAAAGATAAAGAAATTTCGAAAACAAAGAATTTGAGTATCTTGGTGCTGAGGACAAAGTTGAAGAAAGAACAAGAAGTATTAACGAGTGCCGATAGGCAGTGATAAAAATATGACGAAGTAAAGGATATGCTAAAAAGAAAGGGGCAATTGCTGTATATACACGCGCGAAATAAGAAGAGAGAGAGAGAGTGAGAGAGATAAAACGTTGAAAGAGAGGCCTTGGTCCGACGACGATTAGCTCGAGGCAAAACTCGCTATATGCATTGTCTCGCTGCCTGCTGCTCTGCTACTAAAGCCCTTAGGCTACTTCCCCTTTTTCTTCAGCTCCATTTATCCGCATGTTCGTCTTTCTCTACCCCCACGTGTATATACATACGAGAGAGAGAGAGAGAGAGAGAAAGCAAGGGAGAGAGAATATGATGGAGAAAGCCACAACTACTGGGTAAGTGTGTGCATTTGCAAGAGCATGAGCCGACTGTTAGCTGGCCTTTATAGGCTTTGCGAAACTGCCATTCTTGATGCTTCACTTAATTGATCTTGTAATTTCAGCGGGAACATTTGGAAGCAAATGACATTAAAAGGAGTATTTTATGTTATTGTTTGCTGCATAAGTCCATTACGTTGTAGGTTGTTTTCAATTTATTCACCGCGAGATGCAATCTTTGACGATTTGTCAAGTGATAAACTTATTAACTTAATTATGTTAATTGATGTACACATAAATCGCTAAAATGCAAAGCAAAATAATTTTAGACATACTATAGCGAGGCTTTTTCACAAGTAAATATAAAAATATGGTCTTAGATTTCGGGCTTACATTTTGGCATTGTGAACGACTGCAGCTCGTAGCAAAAATCCCGGGACTTACGGATGGAAAAAGAAAGTAATTAATGTTGGACGTATGACAGCAATCAAGTTGCATTGCAGAAAAGACTCATCTATTATGACTTCTGTAAAACGACCCAGTGGATAATCTTGAAATTCGTTAGAATATTTCTATTTTATTTTCATTTTATGTTAGATGAACTATTAATTTATGAATAACATTTGACAAAAACTTCAAAATATAATATTGCGTTAGTAATTACTACTATTTGTCCTTGTCAAGTTTTGCACGAACCTCAAAAAAGAACAGACAAATCATCGTCGAAGCGTGACACTACAGCCGCAAAAATGCCCATCTTTGCTCGTGTGCGATATACATGTAAGCTCTTTAGTTGCAGGTGCCTAAGGTCTCTCTTCCCCTTTCCTAGTCAATGGGGGCCGTCATCTGCTCGCGCGTTCTCACTCTCTTTCGGTTGTGTATGAACGTAGTTGATGCCTTGGGCAGAAATTGGCCATGAGAGAGAGAGAGAGAGAGAGAGAGAGAGAGAGAGAGAGAGAGAGAGAGAGAGAGAGAGACCCTTCGTTTGCCTATCTTCTTTATTATCTAGGTTAGATGTTAATATTGATCGACCTATGGGTAGATTGATTTTATCCAATTTCATTACCAATACGAATTAGTATTCTAGCTCTCCATTTTTTGACGAGTTACGGTCAAAATCATAATTATCCAAAAAAATGTCAGACATGTTTTCTTTTATTGGTAAAATTTACTTAACCTATCGTTTTCTAAGCTTAGCCTGTTGTTACACGTTTTAAAGTATCATATACGATGTTCTCAATAATTCAGACTTTGCATACATACGGATATATATTTTGAACATTTATTTTTTAATTATTTTAAATCGTAATGAAATTGATAGTTTAATTAGTCTGAATTATTTTTCATGAAATAATATTTTGATGGTTTTTTTTCAAAATTTTTATACAACATTAACTAGAACGTTGTAATTTTGCTAAAATAAGTATAAAAAAGTTAGTAAAGTATTTTTTGTTAGTACAACGAAAGAAGTAGGTTGACTATAAAAAAAGCCGTCTTAGAGATAATGATATATTTGTTTACATATATTAAGACCATTGTTATTGAGCTGATAAACGTGTTCACTAATAAAAGTAGTCATTCACAAAATTTCGAAAAATAAAGATAATCCATTGTTCGTCATCATCACCAAGATTATGAATTATGCTAGTCGATCTTCTGCACATTATTTATTCAGTAATAAAGTTTTTGGCTTAGATAAATATATGATTCTTAGTCTTTCGACAATGAGCGACAGCGTTGTGTTTCTCGAGGGCATGATCGTCACTAAAATAAGAATAAAAAATAAGAATCCAAATTTGTTGAGATTATTCTGCTGAGTCGCAATATAATATCATTATTATTTACAATTTACTTGTATCATTCTGTCTGTTAAATAATAGTTTCAATTTTGCTTGTATATTATTTATTTAAACAAAACATGTCCAAGATTTTCAATTACGATTTTTCATTGGTAAAGCTGGCGATTAAAATTTTTTCAAAGCTCACCTTGAAGGTAATCACTTTTTTTCAAAATGCTGTTTTTGGAAAGAAAGTGTAACTATAGTTAGAATTTCATCAATTAAACACATCGAGGAAATATCATATTGCTTTAAATAATTACGGTCAATACGTAAGGAAAGAAGCAAAGGTGATAACTCTGAGGAAACATCACGGCAAAATTAATACCGGAATATGCAAATTTGCGTTGATCGCAAAGAAAAATATTAGAGCTGTTTTTTGATTTTTGACAAATCTGACGTGATGGCGTATTGCTTGATAAATAACTAAAAAAATTGAAAAAGTTCTGAGCGACGTCAGACATTTGATTATTTGGGAAGGAAATCAATGAAAATGGAGTAATTAAGAAAATAATTGTTAAAGGTTTTTTTCTATTTTTTATTTTTAATTAAATGACTTCAAGATTTTAAGCTATAATCATAATAAATTTAATCAATATGTTTCAAAAAATAGTACCGTGTGTAGTAGAAATCAATATTATTATTTAATTTACACTTAGTTTTTATAAAAGTGTTACATTTTTATATACCATGTGCTTTGCTTTTGAAACCATTCTTACCTTCTGGCAGTTTACTCAAGTTTTAAATTTGTATTTTCTAAGTTTTGTACGATAAGTTTTGTAGAACTTTTTACTGATGCATTGTGGTAAAAGGATAGTGGCTTACATAACAGAATGTAAACACGCTATATCTTCATTTTTAAACGTATTCATCAATTAAGTTGAAATATATTTTGAAATCCATTTTTTACAAACATATTAAAATATTAAATTTAAGAAAATTTTAAATGTAAGAAAATAGTTTTTTAAATAAAATCTTTAAATTACTTCTAGCTTCGACAATATACAAAATCAGAGTTTAACAGTTATGAGTTACACAAGAACGCAACACGTCGTCCCGTCTTCACAATCATCAGCGTTTCTCTTCAAAGTTACCGTGTTGCAACTGGCCATACATTCTCCCAAAAAGTGTCGACATCGATGCCTGTCTTTTTCTCTAACTGTAAAATAAAACATTAGAATAGATAACGGATTTGTGTTTTTTGCATTTTCATTAAATTGAAATCATTCATCAATTTACTTACTCATTGAACAGCAGACTTCGCCATTTTCGGGACAACTGAGGCGACTAGTTGGGGTAGTACATTTACTAGCTTCAATACAAGATCCTGGGAAGCAATGTTCAGCTTCGAGAAGATCTGCAATATTTTGTCGTTTTTTTCATGACCATACAATTTAGGAAGCTTTTGAAATGTATTATTGCAATGTATAATTGAGATAAAATCTTTTTTTTTTCTGAATTGGAAAAGTAACCAATTTAAAGTTAAGTTGATTAAAATAGTAAATAGTCTGTTTAATTAACTCTTTTTTTCACAATGAAACTGTTTTATAAATATTGGATATTCGATAAAAAAACGATCTCTCTTGTATTTTGTAAGGTGCATGACGGCACTAAAACTGTTATCATAAAACTCACAATTGTCATCGACGTCAACGGAAATCTCCTCCAGCAGCGAATTTCCAGATTTGATGACGCACACGTACTTTCCGTGATCTTTCTTAGTGAAATGATTGATTAATAGAGCTCCATTAGCCGAGACCGATATGCGGCCTTTCATCTCAGGGTAGTCTGACAGTGGTGACGAGGAAATGCCGCGAGACCATTGATATGACAAATTATGGCCTGACTTTGTTCCCTTACAAGGTATCAACGCGTCATCGCCCTTTGATGTTGCTCTTCCGGCTTCGCTTAGAACATCTGTTACAGTAATGGCAACAGTTGATGCACATGTAACTATGAATTTATTTTTATAACTGTAATTTTATGTTTTTCATAATGACGAATGCTTGCTCATATACTACATTTCCTCATCAAGGGTCAATAGTCTTATCTGATATTCGTCAGAGTACAATTTTATCTGGAACTTTTTATTTTGTCTTAAATATTTATGGAAGCGTTAATTCACTTTAAACCTCGCCGTACTTTTTTCTTTATACATAAACAACTTGGGATTTTTCTCGAGGAAAAAGTCCATTTTTTCCTTAACTTAATTCCTCGACTTTGAGTGTTGTTTAAAAACTTATAGTCTCGTGTAACATTGTTTCTTTTTACTTATCTATGTTATTTACATTTTTTGCTGACATTGAATTATGTATTGCAATCACGTAACTAGCGATTGTAATTTTTGTTCTGTTAAACATTGGTCTTACGAGATCTAAGCATTTATGTTCGACAAGTATATTTGCGTATGTTTATACACATTAAATTTCGGTGTACATATGTTTAAATCGCACGTACATTTTTAAGTACCGGCATTGTCCCAGTTGAAACCAGTTTGAAAAAGAGAAATTATATAGTAACGTAAAGAATGTTCAAATTTAAATCTTAGAACTTCGAAAAATTATTGCACGCAATATTTTCTACTTGATATTTTCAAAATTATCGTTAAAAGCTAAATGTTCATTTCATGACTAGGAGGTGAACGATATGAAAATTATTATTATCGCGATCGAATTATATTTGCATATAATTTCTTCGATTAATAAACTGCAAAAGCTATATCAAGCGCAATAAATTGATTGCATTGTTATACTATATGTCATAAAATGTACTCACTAAAAATTGCGCAAACGACAATCGTAGCCGTAAAACCAGTTGTCAATCTAGCCATGGTGTTGTATCCTCGTACGAAAATATCAAGAAGTATTCGGCGTAAGTTGTACCTTGAATACTCACAGGTTTCCGGCAAGTGACAGCGTTTTATACTTGAAGCGCATCCGCGACGTCATTCCGTTTACGTAGTTGCGCGCACCATCAGAAAAAGAGAGGAGGGTCGATAAAGTAGAAAAACGTGAGTAAGTCAGATAAACACGCTACTATCGATATGTTCCTTACCAGCAGATAACACAAGTGCGCGGTTTGGCGCTTTATATTCAAGGCTTTTAGAAATCGCACGTGCCAATTTACTTTCACCTTTGTGCCCCTATCGTATTTTGACTCTTTTGATAAAATTTGCGCAGTTGCTTGTTATCTTTACGATGTTCGAAGTAACAATGGAGGTTTGCTTATGATGGAGGTTTGCTTATGATGGAGATTTGTATACAATTGTTAAATACGCGTTTACATTTCATTTTGATTCTACCGGATTATTTGGATTTACTGAGAAAACCTTTACTCTCATAACGTCATTATCGACCAAAACGGATTTGTTAAAATTTTCATCAAATTTTCATTTATGAAATGGAATCGCAGTGCTATTCTGTATTAGTTCTTTTCATTTGAATATCTTAATTGCAATGTTTCATACACTCTTTTAAAAATTGTTATCAAATATGTTGGACGCGTTTTTTTAGTATCATCATATCATAAGAATTTTCTTATGTATAAACAATTTATATAAACACTTGTTGCACACATATTTATTAAATGTAAGTAATTTAGATCACTGGGTAAAATATGTCAAAATTAAATAAAAATTATCAGTGCTAAGGCAATCGTTGTATTTATATAAATATAATGTTTTGAAATAACTAAAGATTTTTCATTCTGGTGTACTATTGTAATTTACTTAAAATCAATAAATATATTATATAAGTAAAAAATGTATCAACGATATGTATAAAAATTTTACACAACTACAAAGCAATTACTTTTCTCTCCGCGTTCAAAAAGTAAGGAGACTCTGTATTCTTGTAATTATTATTACTACTGTTGTTGTCGTTATTATTATTATTATTATTATTATTATTATTATTATTATTATTATTATTATTATTATTATTATTATTATTATTATCATCATCATCTCGCTTCGCTCGGGCGTAAACATCACACAAGACAAGAATCTACTTTTCCGTACTAGTTACTAATGTACTATTTTTAAATATATGTCCGCGTAGATCTCTGAAACGGTTTAATAAATTTCTATATAGGTTGGCTCATTTGAAAGGGTATTCTTCTCAAGTTATCCTATTTCATTATTAACTTACTTGAAGCATAATTTTGTGACAAATTGTAAAATGTTTTTTAAATGGCTTTTTTAAAATTTATTTTGGATAGAAATGGTGACATTAATAAAAATGAAAATGCAACTTTTGTGGGTTTGTCATAGTTATTTCGGAATTTGATTTAGAATGAAAAATGACAACGTTAACTTAACGTAAGTTCAATTTCTATGGATAAAAGTGGGAAACGAGTAAGTCGAAAATTATACTTGGTTTACTTTCTACTAATAATTTTGACTCTTGTTTTATCAGAGGAAAGTTTTTAATGCAGTTCTATAGTTTTTAAAGCTCTGTATATTTAACAAATAATATTGTTAAAAAAACTAGATATATTGTATGCGTAGTGTAGTTAATAAGTACACTCTTAGACATAAAAGTCATGAAGACAATTTACCATGCACTACTTCATAACATTAACAAAAGAGTACTTCTAATAAGAAGCGATAAAAGATGATAATATTATACTAACTTACTAATGGAATGTGCCATTAAGTAAAAAACAAAGTTTTTTTAACGCTAATACAGAAAAAAATAAGGGAGATAGAAGAAAACTCTAATGAGAAAAATGATGTAGTTGTAGCTATAAAACAAAGATCTACAATTTAAATTTGAGTTTGAGAAAAAAAAAATTTTTCTCATCAAACATAATTGTTTTAATTAATTTTTTTAACATGCTAAAAAATCGTAAAAAATGTTTTTTTCAAGAAAGAGTTTCAAATGGACTCATTTGTGCTTCTCAGGCCTTACCCATCGTTGCCTCAACACGAACTTACGTTTTGAGACTTATGTCCTATCGATTCTTACACGATATTTTACGTTGTATGCGTATCATAAACATTAGGATAAGTGTAAAAATTAAAAATCTCTTTAAGGTCATGATACATGTGTGCTTCAATCGAGAAAAATCTAGTTGAGTTGCGTCACACGCGTATACATCAACTATGAATCCCTACTTTCTCCAGTTTCAAATAAATTGTACACGTACACGCACACATTATACTTTAGCTAGTGAGCGTGATTCTAATTGTAATTAGTCGTCGGTTAGCCGCTACCCTGATGCAAGTATAGTCTCAACTCTGTAAACTCTTGGTTATCCGTCGCACAGACCGTAAGTCTGGCGCTTCCTTGATTGTCATGGTCCCGCGGATTATCTTGGTTTTTATACAACTCATTTGTTTTAATTATTAGCGCTTAACTCAAGGTGATCGAGTAGCAAAAGTGTTTTTTACATCATTAATTTCATATTTGCATCCTGACGTCTCGACAAATTACTTGTGTGAAACACGTTAATCAAATAGTTACCGATGCTGACGAGTAATAATAAAACGGAGGGAAGGCGAGTGTCGACGAAACAAATGCGGAGAGGTAACGCGCGGAGGTTTTTAGATTCGGCTAACAATAGGCTATGAAACGTTGCTCGTAAGAGGGAAATTCGCGTCTCGGGGCAAATCCGCTTGGTCACACAAGTTGGCAAGGCGTTGGACATCTGTCTGGCATTGCTCTTGTTTTGTCTTTGCTGTGTTGTTCAAACTTATGTCAAAACGATTATAATTTTCTTATCTTATAATTTCTTATTGATCTTCGTTTATATGTACTCATTTGCGTGCGCTTATTGTAAAAGTAAACCGCAACGTAAATTGAGTAAAAGTTATATGTACCTATATCGAACAAATCAATTCAGTTGTTGCGGTTGATCAGCAAGTAAAACTAGAGATGTGATTTTTTAAAGAAATATAGTTAAATCAGTCGCTTTATGTAATATTAAATGGAAAATTGAAATACCAAAATTGATCCCTGCTCGCGATTAATTCATCTCTCTCTCTCTCTCTCTTTCTATTCTATTCGATCCATCGACGAAGATGAACGCATTTCACGTATCGTTCCCGTATTAGCCACATTAATATTAGTTCTGAGATTAAAAATTTCTGGAAGCTATTAGGTCGATCTTCCGGGAAGTAACATTTCCATGTTTTGAAGGCAAAGACTGAACGGAAAGGGAGGTGGTATGGCCCCACGACTGTTAGTCGGAGAGCGATGGAAGTGAGAGAGGGACAAAGAGGGAGACACAGATTCATATTACGCATGAAAATTGGGCGTGGCTGAGGCCCAATAGCGGCGGTACAGCGAACGAAAGAAAATTTGAGGGTGGTCGGCAGTAATTAAATAGTCATCGTGTGAAGCAATAGGCTCGAGATAAATAGCCTTTAAAAATAGTAGCTCTTGGGAGCGCATATATCTCCTTCGTCAAATTAGTTGATTACGTAGTTTCATTAGTTGTGACGGGGTCTTCGCTACAATAGCCGGCCCTGTCTGGCTCGCTCTGTCTCTCTTTCTCTCTCGCAGCCTCGCTCCTTCGCTGTTGCCCTGGCGAGCGTTTGAAATTACGAACCGATACCGATGCTCGTACCGCTTCATTTCAGGACCAATACCTGAGCCGGACATCGTCATCCGGAGCCAATTGGGAGCGAAAGCGGTTGCGGCAAGAAGAAGAGAAAGAATGACGCGTCGCGAGTAGAGAGTAAGCGAGCGCGGGTGACCCGCGGCGATCCGCTCGCGAGAGCGAAGCCGCCGGCGTTGCTCGAGCCGACGCGCGAACGATTAGGGGAGAGAGTTCGAGCCGAGATTCAGAGTTAGACGGATCGTTTGACGGCCGAGCGTGCGCACGTGAAAGAGAACAAATCAGACCGAGAAGCAGAGGACGATTAGCAGGTAGCAGCAAGGAAAGAGGACTTCCAACGACTCTAACATCAAGGAATCCACATCCGAGCCTACCACGAGCCTGTCTGCAGTTCAGCAGTATTTCCTGCCTGCGGCGGAATTACCAGCAACAGTTCCTGCAGCGGCATCAGCGGCGATTCCTGCCAGCAGCCTCACCAGGTCAGGTCGTCTCTCTCTCTCTCTTTCTCTCTATATTCGCGAGTGCGCAACGCGTCGGCGAAGTGATCGCGATCTTCCGCGAACACGGCGAATTCCACGATGGTAACGAGTCCCTCCTTTGTACTCTCTCAAATCATTGTACCGTGCTCCCGTGCGATTATCCGCACGAGCGCAGGCACGCGGCGTTGAGGACGATGCGTGAACTCGCGTCGTCGCTCTTTATTGTTAAAGTCGAGAATAAATATTGTTAACGGTTATCGCGAGTAATTATTGTGTGCGCCTGTCATTCCTTTCCCTTCAAGCCTAAGCCCAAGACGCCAATTTAGTGACGAGGCCAATCGTCATCGTTCAGAGGAGCGAAAGAGCCTCCCTTACCTTCCCCTTTAAAAATAATTTGTGATACGACGCTTGGGCACGGGCCTTCGCATTGCTCGTGGGAATTAGCATTCCCCATAACGCGTTAGATTTTTAATCATCGGTGTCATATAGTTATAATTTTTTTCATGAAATAACGGCTTCTTCACTCTTAAAGTTTTTTAAGCCGTTGTTTAGAATAAGTATTTTATATTTATGTATACTAACTCTTGTGTTTTGTGATTTATAATTTTAAATAAATTAAGGCTAATTATCATTTCATGCGATCTTACCTTTAACAACTTGATTTACGATAAACATCCTATCCTTTAGTTATATATCCTTCAATCTCTCGTTCTCCTCATTTTTCACGCAGCGTAACAATTGTCAACAAGATATGACTTATTATGGTGCATGCATAAGCTTTTGTTTAAAATTTTTACTGAACAATTTAAGAAAAGCTTGCATTGAATTTTTATATATTTACATTGTAACAAAAATAATTACCAATTATCGTGATCTGAATAGATTTAATTTTGATCGTTGTCTTTTATAGTGATTTAGAAATTTGATATATGAGAAAAAAACGAAACCACATTTCTTCGTAACTATCATTTATATAATAACATCAAATTTAATTTAAATAAAGTAAATCATTGACTATACCTCAACTATTAAAATCCATTAGGTCATATTTTTTGGTATAAATAAATCAGTTCAGGAGCGAAATCTTAATTATACAAATATCAAAACCATTGCAGAGTATTACATTTAAATTTGACACATTTGTTGGATAGTAAGATATTTACTAAGTATCTACATGAATCAGCCAATATAATATTTATAAGTTATCTAATGAAGAATTAAGAGTATTTAAAATAGTATTTGTGCCAGAACAGATTCAGGGATGGAATCGAGGTATATAATGATTAACGAAAGCTATAATAAAATTGAAACATAAATCGGTATAGCCGGTGAAAAACTTGCAGTTATATGTACAACTTTCTTTTTTTACAAAGGCTCATGGTTGTTACATACATTTTTCATTTTTTCATAGGTAATGATTTGATTCTAGATGGTCCTAACTTTATGTCTATATTAAAAATTTCGTATTCTGAAATTTTGAAACTTTGCAAATTGTATACTTATTTACTTAACTAAATATTCATAACAATCAGAATAACATAAATAACAAATAATAATATCAATGTCTTTTATGAAAGTCTTTTGCGATCTTAAGTACTTGACAATCGAATGTTTGCTCATATTAGTATTACCGGAATTTTATATGCAACTTTGATTTCCGATAATGCTACTTCATACTCCAGAAATAACTAGACAAGTTCTAACAAAGTACACTTATCTAAATATGTATAAATAATTTGGGATAAAGCACTATCTTACTGTCTTATTGTTACTTTATTATTTTTCGCTTTTATTAAAAAATGTCATTCAAAGGTGGTATATAAAATGAAAGCTTAAAGAATCAGATATCACGGTTTTAAGAATCTCACATATCACACGTGTCATAAAATATTAGTTTACTTTAGTGCAACAATTCTTCATACGTTGGAATAGTATTAAATCAATTAGAGATAAAAATCAGCATTGAGCTTTCAAATAGGCTATTTGAAGTTCAACATTTAAAAAAAAAAATCAATGATTAATTGGAAAAAAATTGAATCTATATGAAGATTATTTTTTGGTTTTAAAAAGCGTATAGTCAATGAACTTATCTCTTCTGGTTGAATGAAGATCATTGAACCAGCAGACGTAGATTTTATTAGCAGCGATAATAAGATTTTTGGAAAATTTTTAAACATACGATAGTAGAGTTTACGATTACGGTAAATAAGACATATGTACGTGTTATCAGTATTATCTTATGTTTATTTTAGTTTTTTTTCAAAGCTAAACAATTGTCATGGAACATAATATTGCGATATGTATTTTGTCAATGACACAAGATAATATTTTAATCCAATACATTATAAATTTCCCATTACATTTCATAGTACTCGCAAATAAATACAATTATCAGTATAATCATACTGACTTTAAACTAATTCTTATATTCCTTTGGAAAAATACGAGTATGTAAGAAGACATGTTATTGATCTTACATTCGAATTTGTTTGTTTATTCTTTATAATACAGGCATCATTTGGGAATAATTGCTTCACTCATAATATATGTTATTATTTTTATTATAAAAAACTCGATAATAACTTAACAACTGGCATTGACTCTTTACTTTTTATTACTCATTGTTAGTTAAGTACTTAGATCCTAAATTATTTCTTCAAAGAAGACATTCTGTAATCGCTCCTGTAGAAATCGCATTTTGGCTATATAAAATGATAACTAACACAAGATTATCAAAGTAAAATATCACTTTTCTTAATTTAATTTAATATTGCAATCCCAACAAGTAGAGTAATTATTTAACAACGAAAAGTCTTATAACTACTTATGTACTATATTCATATTTACAACGAGTTTTAGTTTCTGTATTTTCAGAAGCATAGTATACACATTATTTTGTCAATACTAGCATACTGTACACTTTTTGACTTCTACCAACTCAATCACTGCACTAAATAGATTCTTTTTACACTTGGTATTATTTTTTAATACATAATTGCCTCTTTATTTTATTCGTACGTCATCTTTTATAGTAATAGCTGCGCGATTTTATTTTGTTTGCCTTGATGTTGTAAAGTGAAAACTTAACTGACAACATAATTGAAATTCTAATATTTTAAAGCAATTACTTATTTTATCAAAAGTTTTGTTTTCAGCGAAAAAATATTCCTCGCATGTGTTTGAGTATATTGTTCAATAGATGTTTGGAAATAAATAACAAAGTTGTCAAAAACACCCTTCGTAAATTTCACTCTAGTACAACAATTCTAGTTTCTTCCTGGTACTCAGAACATACTTCACTTTTTCTGGCTTTTAAAATATTTCGCGCACGTATAAACTTAACGATTGTACGGTTGCAGGAATGAGTCTGGAGTCTTTGACTTATTTCTCACGCAGGCAATGTACAAATGGCCTCCTTAAACCGTTCGATATATATAGTACTACTCTCAACCTTACTTTTCTTTTTTTCACCTACACAAAAATTTTTTCTTTTTTTTCCAGAGTCTTTACTTTATAGGTCGTCGATCCTATTATTTTCTTCCTCTTCGTTTCGCTTTTCAATATCACAGTCAATGGATAATTACGCTCTAGGTCGATAGTCTGCAGTAATACTCTTGAGAAACGCGTAAATTTCTTTGAAGCTTGGTCGTATAGATTCGTCTCTCTTCCAACACGAGCACATTACGCTGTAGACCTCCTCTGGGCACATCATTGGTTTTGGTAAAAGGACCTTCAATCGAGACAAATAAAATAATTAAAAATTTATCGTTTTACAATAAAAAATTTAATCTATTTAAATTTTGGCCAAGTAATCAATTTTTTAGCGTTTAATGATTTGGAAACACCTAATGGAACCTGTAAAATAAATTCATTCAAAAATTTTTCATTCGTAAACTCTTTAGGATCTTTTTAGATGATGTAAGTAGATATTGGCTGCTTAAAAACTATATTGGATATTACTTATTATTAGAGAAAAAAATAACACTTAATAATCAATAATTTTACTAATAATTTTCCTCAAAAATAAGATTCAGCACAGGAGTTTATATGCACAAATTTATGTACCAATACCAATATGATGTAGCATTTTAATATTCAGAAATTATTTATAGAACCATCTTGACTTTTATTAAAATTTTTTTATAAGTTTTGACATATATATTATTTAAGCCAATCTATTATCAACGATCAAACTACTGTGAAAAATATGACAATGAATTTTCATATTTTATCTTTGTCAATGAATACAATCAACTGTAATAGGGGTTTGTCATGATAATAATCTGATTATAATAGTCACAACGTTGCTTTGAACAAGCTATTAGAAATTAATATCAGATAATGAAACTTTCAATTTTAACTTTTAGTTACCTAACTACAATGAAAATGATCTGCTTACTTGTAATTCACCTCCGTAGTACATAAGCTCGGCATTGTGAATAACTTGTTCATTCGTCAAATGTTGAAATGGCTTCTCCCGGGCGAAACTCATTATTTCCCAAAGCGTTACGGCATATGACCATACTGTGCTCGAATTGGTGTATCTATCCTAAAATAGTAAATTCAAGAAAGATGAAATATTTTTGACAATAACGTTTCCAAAAATAATTGTCAAACAAATGATGTATCCTTACCAGTAGCATGCTCTCCCAAGGTAGCCATCTAATGGGTACAGGACGTTTGCCACCAATGTCGCTGTAATCCTTCTTATACAAATCGCTGCACATGGCTATATCCGTCACTTTCACCGTGTAAGCCCGACCCAGTAAACAGTTTCTCGCTGCTAAATCTTTGTGAACTAGATGTTTAGACTCGAGGTAACGCATGGCTGATACTACTTGCATTCCCATGTAGAGTAGGCAGTTTTGGCTACAAACCGACAAGGGAATAGCCAAATTAGTCTAAGAAAATCTAATAAAGTGAATTTTTATTTTATTATATACCAGAAATATGTTAAGCAGTTTTGTTAAAATACTGATTTGAAAATGATCAAATAAGTAATAAATGTATTTCCAAATAGGACGAAAATGGTTTTTATGAATAAATGCTGTTCATCAAATAATTCATTCATTTTAAGAAAACAAAAAAAATATAATGAATTCATCAATACTTGAAAGTTAATCTTTTAATTCATTAATTTTCTGATCTAAATAGCGCAGAATTTATATATTAAATACTCACTTATTCGCTTCTATTCATATTGGAATATAACTTATTCGCATAATTATTCATCCTGGAAGGTGCAAGCAGTAGAAAAAGCAAAGTCTGGCATTGCAAAGTATTCAATGTAATCTAGTGTGACCGGATGGAAAGCTTGAAAATATTCATCGCGGTATAACGCAATCTCGAACGGACTGTTAATCTTATCGGCGAGGAATTGATTTCTTGGCGACACCATTTCATAAATCGCTAGAAAATTGCTCATGAAAAATGCAGTACTCGCCTGATGAAATTGAGGCTGCAGTTGGGCCGTTGCGTGCCGACCAGTGGCTCGCTGTATTGAAGGTAATGCGCGAGGTCACCAAGCTCGGTATATTCAATAATCGTCCATGGTCTCGATGGTTCCGTTGCGTCGTACACTATACCGAGGATCCTCGCGAGATTCGGATCTGACAAGCAGGACAGGTAACGAATTTCTCGTAATGTATCTTCGTCGCTAGGCGAACCGTCTGTGAAATCAGTATTGGGTATTCTTGCTACTGCTAAACGTAATGGTTCTGAACTAATTAGAGCGTTGAATTTCGAAGTGGTCGAATCTTTGAGTCCTAGCACTGCGCAGATTATCACCTGGTGGCAGGAAATCAATTGTATTTCATTACGAACAGAAATAGTATTTCAACGTTTTCTTCACTGCTATTTGCGACTCATTAGAATTTCTCATTCGTTCACTGAGTATATCATTTCATTCGCACATTTACATTTTCGAAGAATCATCAAACCTTAGTAGTATAACCAGAATTTCCAGGCTTTTATGACAAATGATTTTCCTGAAGTATCAGAATCAGCTATGATGGTAAATGTAAACTAATTTGTTATAGTTTTAATTACATAGATGGCCACTCGTTAGAACTACTATGTAAAGAATTTTTATTGTAGAACTATAAATATAATTAACTGTCATTATAATTTATTTATTGTAAGCAATCTAAGAATACAATATTAACAATCTAAGAAACACTATATTAAAATTGCTCGATTTCCCATACAATTCACGTAAATTATTCAGACTTACGAGCTTATTCCAAGTTTGAAATAGATTCAACACGAAGAAAAATTATTTTAAAAATAAGCTTTTAATCATGACCTTACTTCGCTACATACATTAAAAGATTCAATTTAATATGTAATCAAAGTTAAAATCATGTCTCATACGCTATTCCACTCAATAAAACTCCATATAATGAGTTGTTAGTGTTTTTACACTTATTATATCTCCGGAAGTAAGTCCCTAGAAAGTCGCGTAATTCTAATCCCACTCTGTTCAACCTCCAGCCAAAATTATATCGATCAGTCTCTCTCTCGGCAAAGTTACGTATAATTTCAAAGCCGAAAAGTTGCGCGGAAGCTGAGGGTAAACGCGTAAGCGCATAATACGCGCATCCCTATTCCCCCGTGGTGGAATTCGGTTGAGCTAATATTCCAACAACAGACGGTGAGAGCACGAGTACAGTAGTGGTGGCGCCTTTATCACACATAGGCCTGCTGCAAAGTATATACATGTATATATATAATACCTCGCCGATATGGCCGGCACCAAGTTTCTCCATTGTATGTAGGCACTGGCCGGGTATGTCGACGGGCTCTATCTCCTTGCATTTGTAAGGCTTGCTCATGCTTGGAGCTATGTTCCATCTGGCAATTGGTGCTGGTACCTGCGACAATCGTTCAATTATCATACGACTTCTTATCGTTACCAGTCTAAGTTTCACTTTTCGCCTGACGAGAGAAATGCTTATTTTGTTATTGTTGCATGATAGTGAGATATTTCGAATTTTCTTATAGTAGTACACATTTATTTAGAACAATAAAATAAAATATAATGAAAAAACTTTTTTATTGCGATGATCGTTGCTCAATTAAATAATAATAACTAAAAATGAGCTTTCGAATTTATCATCTTATCTCTTGAGACTGCGTAAACGTATGTTAAAGTGCATGCTCTTGTCTACTTAAAATCACACTTCAACTCTCTTCAAACATCAAATATTACCTTGTGCTTTTCCTTAGGTGCAGTATGCCAACGCTTGATTCGTCCGTATTCAGGCTCTCGTTGTTGTTGATGAGTTGATGTGCTTAGTCGCTGTTGAACTGCTGCGGATGGCGAAGATTTACCCTGAAGGGTACGGTAGTGTTGCGAGCTACGTCGCGTCGACGGCGAATAATGAGATGAAAGTACAGGCGAACATGAACGGCTGCTCGATTCCTGACGCAGACTACCGCTGCAGTAGCCTTTTTCAAAACTCTTACTAGAGCGCAACTCGTCCATTCGTTGCAAATCTCGATTCGGCGTGTCTGCGAATCGAAAAGTGGGCGAGATTCGAATTTTAGCATACGGATGAGTGCCTGTTGGATGACATTGTGAATTTCAGACTCTAATGATTGTCACTGGCGGTTATCAGAGGAAAAGTTTTGCAACTTTCAATAATAACTCTTACATTTCAGTTAGCAGAGCAAAGTATATCAATAAGTATACTTCATCTTTTTATCATACTTTCGATTCGCATAACGATGAAAAAACGTACTATACGTAACGAAATAATGCATTTCGCTAATCGCGAAAATTGTAATCGACGGTCAATTTCCAAATTAAATTCTTTCCTTTTTTTGTATCAAAGGCACGCATGCAATTATTCAGCTTTTGCACATCGTTGGCGCTGTACGTACGAATCGTTGTGGGTTTCGCCTAACAATGTGTGCGAATATACGTACGGCACGCATAGCTGACAATATATGGAGCTGGACGTCGAGCACAGCAAAAGCAACAACCTACTCGTACACACGATCACCGAGTCACGCTATCCTTTATTTTATGACGGTCAGCGTGCGGGCGTGCGCGCTTTCAGCCTGAAAAGCTACTCTATACGCACCCCCCCCCCCCTTCCCCCCGTACGTCCGTGTGCGACGTGTAAGTTTCTTTAGTTTAGCACTTGTCCTGTGAATTTACTAGCTCTGAGAAAGCAAGTGTTACGTCTCTTGCCTCGAATAAACTTTGCACTTGTTTTCGTAGGGAGTATATACCTACAGGACGACTTCTGTGTAGAATAGTAATGATGTGAAGCTAACAATTTCTATTTTTTCTCTCTATCTTTCGTTTACTTTCGTTTAGAGTGTTTATGATAGAAGAGAGTTTTAGTATGGCCGTCTATTTAGGTTTAGGCGAACTTTGATGATTCTTGAGTTCGAATAATTCGGTCTAAATGGACCAAAGTTAAAATTGATGTTATTGTTTTTACAAAGACCTTACGGATTTATAGTTCTTATTTCTAATCAATTCGATTTCAGGTTCTATTGATGCTCGAGTTATCAAGGGCTTTCTCTCCTCCGTGAAATGATTGAAAAGTACCGAAAATTTCTTATTCGGAGTTAGTTTTTTTATACACTAGTGGATATTTCTTACTCTCAGTAACGAACCAAAACTCATATAATAAAACATGTAATGTAATTTTGAGAATGAGCAGCTTGCGTACGTGATATATTTATTCTAGAAGTAAAGTCAGGTTTGGAAATGATCGAAAATGAATTTTTCCCAAAAACAACTGCTGCCGAATATTGTAAAATAGTTAGACTTGAGTGCCAGTAAAAAGTGTATTGAAAGGATTGTTTTTATCCGATCTGAATATTGTAACCAACCGGTATTCGAGACTATAGCGTAGGTAGATCTGTACTGAGACTCGACGAGAGACGAACTGAATTGCTCCATAGTGAGCGAGCCTTGAATACTAATTCCCTCAGCGACACCAGCCTCCAATCCTTCCACGTCCACATCCAAATCTTCCTCGTCGCGCATAGCGTCTGCTTCATCCTCATCCTCCTCGTCAGGAGAGCCGCGACCGCTGTTGTTTAGTACTCTGCCTGGTGTCAGATTCAGCAGAAAACCCTAGAGCCAGCGACGATTATCAGTCAAACCGTAAATTTAAGCATTCTTTCCAAGTTTCACGTTGACTTGAGTTATTTTCATTTGAACGGTGATAATATGTCGAAAGGAAATGAGCAAAGATAACCGTGGGATCCTCACCTTCATGCTGATTGCAAAACCAAAGGGATTTTTTAGCACAGTCGGTGAACTCTGCAGCTTCTGGCGTCGGCTGAGCAACAAGATGATGATAAAAACGAGCAGCAGAAGCAGAGTTATCGCCGTTAATACTCCAATGAGAACTTCCACGTATTCTTGATCTTCTTCTCTCGCTGTAACTGCAACAATAGCGTCCGCAAAAAGTCCATTACTAATCTAACAGAATAAAGGGTCTAGCCTAGATTTTTTTTCAGCACGCCAGGCTCGTATCTCTATCGCGACTGCACACGTGTGCTGGTACTTTTATTTCAAACGGAAGCTTATTCTCATCTCGCTTTATTCAAGTGGCCCAGCCAAGCCCATTCATGTAATTCCGGGGGATGCGCGCGCGCGCGCGCGCAAAAGCTATTACGCTTACCGAGCAAGAGAAAGATACCGTGGCAACACGCTGTGCTCATTTCGGCTTGCTTTTTTTTTCCGACCGCGCATATCAGAGACAGCTAATTATGGTTGAATGCATAAGCGACGCCCTAGTTTTTTTTTCAGCTGTCCATTGTCCTCGAGAGCGTTTATATGGCGTTTTTAATCTACGCTGCCATGTTTTCATGATGATTGCAAACAATTTCAAAGATACCACTTTTCACAAATACGAGTTTGAGTTTATTAATTAACATCTGTGTGAAATCAAAATGAGGTCGTGATATGAAAAATTAGATTATTCGAGCCAACCTACTTTCTCCGATGCCGCAATATCTCTATTTCCAAGCGCGTTTCAACGCAGTATGCCAACACTCGTCCAAAACTTGGCGACACGTCTTTGGCCCGCGCCAGCTCCTCGTGCGCTCCAGCTCTCTCTCTCTTTCTCGCTCTCTCTCTTCCACTTAATCCTGCTAATTGTTTACGTTACGCGAAAGTTACTCGTTGTGAATTATAAAGTAGCTCACCGCGCTCGCTCAAAGTGTTTTCCCTGCTCTGACTTACGTCGCTCAAGCTCTCGACGGTTTAATCGCATCAACCCAAGAATGTCCGTTGCGTCTCTCTCACCCTCTCTCTCACCCTCTCTCTCTCTCTCTCTCTCTCACTTCCTAATTTTCTTAATGAACTTACCTGGATACTCAAAAGTTCGCCCATCAAGGTATAATTTAAAATCGATTCGACCGAGCGTGAAAGATTCAAGGATTTGATCCGGGAAAAAAGCAAGAAAAGACGGAGACTCGACTGTTTGCGTTTTCTATATATAGAGCGACATGGCGACAAGTTTGATTGCAAGCATACATACGTACTCGTTTGTAAGTTGAGATCCGCCTCGTGGTTGACCGTAGTGCTACTGTTGGCGCCGCTTCCGTTGCCAGACGACTCCTCGTTACTGATTTCGGACGAGCTCTCCTCGCTCGCGTTTGCGTTGGGATCCCCTGCGAATTAGATAATTGTTGATTTAGGAGAATTTCTTGCGCTCTCTCCAAGTTCCGACAAGTCTTCCACCTTCTGTGGATTCAACTCTAGGTAGTCACGACCTTTTTACTTCTTGCATATGCATGAGAATCCCCCTGACCAATCAGACGTCGTCGGTGCTTATGACTCGAATAGCTCGACTGATATGAATGTCGGACAATTTTCGATTTTATTCGTAACTATAACTCTGTTGTTTATAGTCCAATTACTCAATAATGCAATAACCTAATAGCTGGGTAGCATTGATAAAAGCAAGGTATGCAAGCGAACTGGAAGTCTCATTTATCTTGCGGATCCAAGTCGACAATGCGTCGTTGCGCAGTGCAATTTAGCATAACGATACTCACATGAGTCGAAGGTGACTTCACTGATGATAATCCAACGAGCGGCAAAGTGCAGGCGGAATTTCAAAAATTTGCCTTGCCTGCCGTGCAATGCGATGGAAACGTTACGCGCGTTTTCTAAATTGGTGTCCGGGATGTAGGAGTAGGTGACCGCTTCATCCTCATCGATCTGCTCCTCGTCGCCGACGAACCACACTTCCGCTCGTGCGAATACCTGTTGGCAAGAAAATTGCTTTTCCTGTCCGCTCTCTCTCTCTCTCTCTCTCTCTCTCTCTCTCTCTCTCTTATATTCTTAAAGCTTCTTTTTCTTCCCTTTTCCTCCCGTCGAGCATGATATCGAGCCACGATGGGATTTCGCGTTTAAAGTGCGCTTGCCAAGCGGGTCTGTGTTACCGGAGGCCCCGGAAAATTGAAATCTTAATTTCTAGCTTAGATTGCTCTACGTGTGATTTATGGCGCTCGCGATAAGCACGTGTGAAGTCTAATTATTGATTTTCAAGCTCTTTATAAAAACAGCCTCTATCGCACGGTTTTTCGATTGCATTTACTAGCTCCTCAACAGATTAAAGTTCGATGCAGTTGCCGCAAGTGCCATAGATTTAAATAGTGAAATCTATCCAGAGGCTTTTTCCAAACGAAATTAAAAATTTCATTAGCAACTTTTCGCAGGAAAGCACTTTGGCGTGATCTAAATTTAAATGAAATTAAAATGTAAACTAGGACATAACTTTTCGAAAATTCCACAAAAGCCAGCAAGTTAAACTCGAAGTTTATAAAAGATGAATTGAACGGAGAGTAGTAGTAGTAGCCGGAAAATTGAGGAAAAGAGAAATTAGTATAATAGCTTTCCTCCTCGAACAAATTAGGAGCCATTCGATAAGATTTCTGTATCAAATACATTGGTAAATTCATAGGTGCAGAATGTAAGCGCTTGAAATGCCCCGCCGTCATATTGTTCACGCATTGATAAACTAAGTATAACCCAATTCACGAAACAGATCGCATCTGTAATGCGGTATTCGTCATCGTGGTAAGCCGATATCGAGCAATGAATTTCAAAAGACGTATCACGAGAGAGGGAGGGACTATGCTCGTTCGCGCGCTCTATTTTACATTTGCGCTCGAAATGTGACACATATCGATCGGTTGTTATGTAGCTCCGCAAAGTGCGAATGCCACATTTTATACATTTGACGTACAAGCGTCGGTATAATCATCGCTCCAACTAGGTCATACCTTTTATCAATTCTATTATTCGAATTCTCGTTGATTACGCATTAAGCAAGGATGACGGATGGGCATTACCGCTTTTCTTTTTCGCCTTTGCTGTTGCCGACCGAATAATTCGGCTAATGAAATCAAACAATGCTTTCTATTTCTGTTTCTGTCTGGCCAAGTATGATTTTTCAGCGGAAATTGTTGACTTTGACGCTGATTAAACAAGATTAATACTATTATTCAATTTAACGGATTCCTTCCCGTCAACAATGGAGGCGCATGGGGCAATGGCAAAATAAACGTAAACGGATTAAAACGTTGCGGTCGTGCTTAATTTATTGTCAGATTCTTATACCTGCACGTCACGCTTGAAATAATTGTTGGTGTAAATGTGCACAGTATTGAAGCATCTTAGTGTCTCGAAGAGAAACGACATCTCAACGTAGTTATCGGGAAAACTGTCTCGCATCCACGCCACCCATCCTGTCCCTGTAATTAAAAAAAAATATAAATTCATGACGACGTAGAAGAATACAAGTTTAGAAGAATACATATTTCTACAATGTTTCTTAAAAAAAGCACTAAAATATTAATCGTGCTGAAAGTAATCTTAAAACTGACCTTTTTCTAAGCCTATATCCTGCTTGTAATTGTCAGCGCCAACCTCACCATCCATCAATCGTCCAAGGCCACCTGACAGATAACCACTCTCGTCGCGTACACCATCGTACCAGGTGTCATTGAGTTCTTCTACCGGTGATTCGGGTATCGTATAGCTCACTATTCCGCCTATGGCGATAAAAAAGTCATTTTTTTCATTATATTATTTAAGGCATGTTGGCTCAATGTGGAGCTAGGAATATAGAACTGAAACTAATATGTTATTTTACATTTTATTCTATAAATGTATATATAAAATGTAAAATTGTTAGACTCTTTTGAATAGCGTAGGAAGCTGTACCTGGTTATTATTCCTTTTACAGCATTCAAATATTTTGCAATAGCATACGTTAAAAAATATGTAAAGAAAATGCGTTTGTAATTTGCTCAGACTCGAGTTTGCATTTAGCAAAGCTTACACTCAGTTGGAATTATCAACATCCATCGGCATTAGCAATAAACTCTGCAGTATTCCCATCACGCGACTACATCATCAATGCCTCGTCTCTGCAACCATCCGCCAACCTTAAATAATTCTCATACCAAGGCTTTCGCATTTCCCTCGCAAATTGCAAGCCTCTCGTCGTCTCGCTCTCTCGTCGGAACTAATGATTTCCTCCACGTAAGTTCACAACGCTAATAACGACAAGATCAAGAAGCTCGTAGACACTTTAGCTAAGCTTTTGTAATATACTCAGTCAACTTATTCTTTTTCCCCGGCCTCTCTATCCACGTGGTAGGTATGCGAAAGCTTATTCTGTCAAGATCGGGATTGAGATTAAGAAAATGGGATTATTACGGTGCGGGAAAAAGAAAATAAAAACAATGGCAACCTCTACTTTTATGCTCGTGCGCTTTCAATTGTCCGTGTATTGATTCAGGATCTAGTCTGTGTTTTTTGGCGCGAAGGGGACAATAACTGCGACGAATGGAAACAAATCCTTTGCTGTGGGTATGCGCACGGGAGCGCTCCTTGCGCTAAATTGCAAACTATAAAGTCCAATTTCTCGTTCATTAGACAGCGAGAAAGGGAGCTCGATTAACATGGATATTTATTCGCAAGGGTGGGAGTCGCGAGGACAATTTAAATAAATTCGTTGCTCGCTCGCGTGTGTTGTGTTAATTATCGGGAACAGCGGCAATGTTTATATTCTACTAATTTTAAGTGCTTTCCGTATAATTTTATAATTACATTAACATGCGTGCGCGTATTGTCCGGATTGCGCGGATTACGTTTTGACGATTAATCTTTTCATGCTTTTACTTTGTCGTTTGTTTCTCTTTCCATATCGTTGACTTGTGTCGCTTGAAATTATTGCTCGATTATACAACACTTCATGTTGGTCTTTCCACATAAACTAAATAGGTTACGCGACCAGCAGTTATGCAACGAAACATTGATTTGTAAAAGCGAAGGATTGTGCACTCGCATTCGCAGTACATATGAAAACCGACCACAATATGATAATTGCATATTGTGGTTGCACGTTCGCAAGGGAGTGCTCAACAAAATTCAAAACTGAATTTAATTAACTTAGCAGTCTTGCGACTAAAGAGGATAGCATTCGAAACTGTTGCCGGAAAGCTCGTGCGCAAAAACTTTTAGACGCGGCAAACTTGGTGAAGTTGTAAAGTTGGAAAAGGAGCAATGGTGTAATTGTTCGCGCGTCGTTTTTTTTTTCTCTCGGCTGGAAAAATCAACGAACCGAGCTATATACACGAGTGAGAAGGTTTTAACGGCAATTCTGCTTCTCCTTCCACGGTCGAATTAATTTTCGCCCTCCTGCTTGTCAAGGGTATATTGTTTCGCGAGCGCTCGCCGCAAAATGAAAGCTCGTTCTACGATCTAAAGCCTTTCGCTGCTCATGGCCGGTATGATCCTTCGTGCTTTATTCTCGCTCGCGCGCGGCCATGCTTGACGAAATAAAAATACAAAAAAACAACGGATTGCTATACGAGGGCATGGTTGTAACGGCATGATTGATCTCGAGAGCTTTATTTCGAAGTAGTTCGTTGTTAATGAGCTGTAAAACTTTATTCATAATTGTGGGGTATTTCAAATGTTCACCAAGGAAATTGGAATTCTTGACTCAATTGAAATTAAAACATGCATTGTTTGACATCGATGACTGAGTTAGTATACATAAAACGTTCGAAAGTTTATTTTTTCAACTTTGTTCATGTTGTAGTTATGTAAGCAAAATTTATTAATTTTTTTAACTTTAAGCTTCCATTTGTCTGGTACATTATGAATTTGTAGATGAGGACAATTACAACAAAATACTGGAAATGGCACGACTACCAGTCACGATCCCACTTTTTCAGTAGAACAGCTGCCTATTAGTCAGACATGTCATTTTTATCTTTTTAAAAGTACCGCCAATGATTTACTTCATTTTATTCACGTGTAAAACAACTGTAAATTTTGTGACGCGATAGTGAAAAGAAAAAGAACCTCTTCGCAATGTTCGTCTCAATGTATGAACGAGGCGCTGTCGAAAAGAACAAGATTTAAGCAGTGCTCTCGCTGAAAAATCGGATCTTAGTGAAAAGTAGGTTAGACGCTACATAATAACGTGTGTTTTAAATTCACATGAAGAATCTCAGGTACTTGCGAGCACGCAAGTATAAGCCTGAGCTGATACAGAATTACGTATTTTCACAAGCGCCTTAACATCGACAGCAGCAGTAAATAAAAAAAATTTCTGCTCTGGAAGGATAAGTTGAATTCCAGCTTTTTCTTGATCCCCAGTGTACTTATGCGATCGTTCGGACAAGTCTCGTTATTCAACGACGCGAGAGAGGACATTTAAAAGTTCAAGTAGCAAAAGGTGAGTTGGGCTTGAAAGGAAGAGCAGAGAATAAGAGAAAAAAAGATAACAGAAGCCTGGAGTTTATCTGATACTGACGGAGAAAAATATATCATATCTGCGAGGTAGAAAAAAGTACTTCATGTTTTTGATCCTTTGATACTTGAAAGTTTAATCCATCAGATAAGCTTAAAGTCGAATCGAATGAGACATTGCGTGAGTTGTTTTTTTAACAGCCTGCTTAGTTAATTTCAGGATTTTATGTGATCTTAATTTCGAATTCAATGAATTTTTGAACAATTTTAAAAATGAATGTTCAAAAGTTTTCTAATGTACAGTTTCTGTAAAATAATCTTCCCCGAGATATCTATAATTTTCTCAAATCAAATATTTAAAATTATTAATAAACTTTGAGCATAAGTAAAAAAAATGATATATCAATCGAAAAAACAAAAAACTTATCCGAACAAGCTTCAAAGACACGGCGTTCTGAAATTAATAATGAGTCGAGTGGCGCTGTTGTAGTGGTCTGTAAACTCGACGAGTCTCCTCGATATTTCACGGCGTCACGCGATGTGGTTTTCAGCAAACGTACTCCAATCCGGCCAGACTATACGTCGATCATATAGCTTTAGAGTTCTATAGTCGTATGAATTAATCCTCTGCGAGAGAAATGATGTGCGATAGAGTACTGCTGTTGACGTAGAGTCGGCCAAATTTAAATGCAAATGCTGAGTATGGTAAGGTAAATTTACAGTCCCTGCCAGAAATATTCTCGTACTTGAAATATTAACTGCGCCGAGAATCAATTTCTTTAGCTTAATTTGAATTAGAATAATGTCTTTAGAATGAAGTTTATAGCTACGCATATCTAATTCCATGTTCACGTCATTTTGACTCTGCCCTTGAAGATTTACATTAGTTAGTACCAAAATAGTGAGCGAACATAATTATGAAACCGAGTTTAACTGTCGTCTCGAAAATTCAATGTAATCTGCTTATGTAATCTAGAACTATGTTTATCTCGAGTTGTAGTCTCATTGAAAACTTGCTAACTGTATATTTAATCATAAAAAGTCGTCAAATACATTAGAATTTAAAGAATTGAGCAACTTTCGCCTTCGCTTTTCTCTAGTTACTTATCGGAAGGTTATGAGAAGAGTTAATTAATGTTTAATTACAAAACGAAAAAACAAACATTAAACTCTCCATTAAGATAAATATATTAGAGGTTGATAAAGCATAAATTACAAAGAAGAAACAAACAATAAAGATCCTTGATTTGTCAAAGGACAGGCATTCGCGGTTGAACAGATAAGCAAAAAGTCAGTGAGTAAAGGTTTTATACGACCCTTCTAAGGATGACTTAATGCGGTGGTCAAACAAGCGAATTCCGCCAGAAGCCACCTCCACGAGTGTAATGAGCAAAAAGCATGCATTCTACGTCTGCGATTCAACCAAGATAAAAGTGACAATAGAGCTTTTGCCTTGCGAAAAAGCGTCAATTAATAAGGGTGCGTTAGCTGAAACGAAGCCGATTGTGTCAGCGGGATTTTCCAAGTAATCACTTTTTATCCGTCGGCTTCGGAGCTTTTCTTCTTTGTTTTTATAGCTTTTGACTGTTTTGCTTGTGCTAGCTTATTTTTACGCAGACGAATCGTATGTTTTTCTTCGTTTCTTTCTTCTAATGAAATTGTTCTTTATTGCTTTATAGTCGCTCTTTGCTTTGTGAAAATATCAGAATGAAGGTTCAGGGTACCTACTATCGCAGTAAATAAACTTACTTTTTAGTGGTGACATATTTAGTTGATTTCGATTTCTCGTATTAGATTTGGAACAAAAATAGAATTTTCTTATTTAAGGACTGAAAACCGATCGAGAGATAACAAAAGGTGAAATTGGAAAGTCATTTGTTCTAGTTCAATGGGCTCACAGAAACCCTCTAGTCGCGAAAGTAGTCTTACATAAACTCAGTCGTGCCTGCGCAATTTTCGGAATAATATTCCGAATTTAGCGAATAGACGTCGCCTAATAAATATCAACCCTTTACGTTACCTTCGATCGTCCATATCAACTTTTCAAGCTTTAAGAGCGCGTTTCACACAGATGCCGTGCGTGGCCTCCATAAATCTGCCATTTCTACCCAGAGCGCTTCTTACCGTACAAGAGTAAGAAAAGTTTCGTGTACTCTCTTTTTCTTTCTCTCTCTCTCTCTCTCTCTCTCTCTCTCTCTCTCTCTCTCTCTTCAATTGGCGTTGATTTTAGTTTCCATTTGTTTCTTTCATACTATTCGACTTTCGTTATGAAAATAGTATATGC